CCCCTTCTCCGCCTCTCTCCTCTCCCTTTCCCCCAGAATGCTCCGCAGCACACTTTCTTCCGCCCGCCTCCTCCCCTCCTCCGCCTTCCGCCGCCCCTCTTCCGCCTGCAGCCTCCCCTCCTCCGCCACCTTTTTCCCCGCCTCTGCAACCTCCTTTGCTGACTCAGCAGCCACTCTCGCTGACTCAGCGGCGTCCCTTGCTGACTGGGCTGCTGCCAATGCTGCCTCCGCCGTCACGACATCCGCGTTAAGAGCCTCTATTCGCGCCTCTGCTTCTTTAAGCGACTTTCGCAACCGCTCGTTCTCCTGCCGCAGCAGCACAAGAAGCGAATCCATGGGGCCCTTATTACCCCCAGATAAACCTCCCCCAGTAGCCCCTTCACCAACACCGCCGCCTGCCGCCGGGCTTCCCACCTCCGAGCCTACGACCGAACCGCCGCCGGGGCTGCGTAGGTTGCCGAGCCTGGTTGCTCCGGGCCGAGCCAGCCTGGGGGAGGCGTTGCTAGCCGGGCTACTGCCGCCGAACCCGCCGCAGCTGCAGGCTTCACCCTCCTTTCTCTCCGCCCCGCCCTCCTGCGTTTTCACCTGCAACTCGGCTTGCCGTTGCCAGTGCCTGATCTCCCTACAGGCAAGCTCCAGGTCTCTCCGCATCTGTTCGTTTCTCCTGACAACAACAGCAAGCTCCGCTTTCACCGCCTGCGCCGCCTCCCCATCTCCCGCCGTTCCGCCCACACGGAGGCTATCCGCGCCCGTTACGCCGCCTCCGCCTCCGCCTCCGCGCGAGAGAACCGCCGCGTCCAGCCGCTTCTGCAGGCCCTCGTTTCTCCCCTTAGCTTCCGCCAGCTCCCCCAGAAGCTCCGCGTTCTCCTCCCGCGCTTCCGCCAGCTCTTTCTGAGTTTGCGCGCCTTTGGCGCCAAGCGCGCGGAGCTGCTCCCGTTGTTCCGCGCATTCCTCTAGCGCTCTCCGCAGCTCCGCCTGCGCCGCCTGCGCCGCCTCCTCCAGCTGCCGGAGCTCCGCGTTTGCGCTTGCCAACTGGCGCACCTCCCCGCGCAGCCTCCCGTTCTCAAGCGCCAAGTCCGCCGCGCGTTCCTGCTCCTTCACCAGCCGCGCGCGCATCTCTTCCGCACTTGCGCGCAACTCCACCATCTGCGCATTTGTTTCTTTAAAACTTTCCTCCGCCTTCCGCCTCTCCGCCTCCGCTGCGCGCAGCCCGTCTTCCAACTCGCGGCTTTCCGCCAGAGCGGAGCCCAACCTTTCCCGGGAAAGCTCCGCCCCTCCCCGGAGGGCGTCGTTCTCCGCGCGGAGCATCCGCGCGTCATCTTGCGCCGATTGCAGCTGCGCCTGCCACTGCTCCCGCTGCTGGCGCATCTCCGCCTGCCACCGCTCCTGAAGCTCCCGCTCCTGCGCCTCAAGGTGCACTTTCCGCCGAGATTCATTCTCCCGCCGCTCCGCCTCCGCATCCCGCCGTTGTGCCTCCAGTTCCCGCCGCTGCCCCTCAAACTTTCCCTCAAGCTCCCGCACGTCTTCCCAGGCGGACTGCAGCCCGCGGCGCAACTCCGCGCACTCGTCTTGCGCGGCGGAAGCTTCGTTCTGCGCCCGGCGAAGCTGCTCCTGAAGATCCTCCACTATCGAGTCAACTCTTACCGCTTCCTTCGCCACGATACGCGTCTGCTCCATAGCGGATGCCACTGTGGACGAACTCGAAGAAGCCACTAACGAGGATGGAGTCCCTGGTCGCTGCTCCGATTTAAGAATCCCGCTGTTGCTTATCGTTCTCCGATGGTAATCCAGGCCGGCTTTTGCATACTCGTCCGCAACTTCGCTAACCACCACGCTACTAGACCTCCCTACACCATCACGCTCCAAATCCTTCCACTTCACCTGCCGACTAGCCCTCGCCTTATCGCTCAAATATGCTGCTGTCGTCGTCTTGTCGTTCAGAAGAGCGGGAAGAACCTCCTGGTGAATCACACTCGATAAAAGGTGCACCGACGCGCTCGTCTGCGTCCGCAATGGCAGCGACGCCTCGTCGCTCAACCTGTCGCTCAGCCTGTCGCCTAACCTGTCGCCGTACGTGTCGCCTAACCTGTCGCCGAGTCTGTCACCGACACGTGTTGCTTCTCTATCTCCGGACCGGGGTGTAGTCGGTCTGCTTCCATACCTGTCGCTTAGTCTGTCGGCTAGACTGTCGCCCAACCTGTCGCTTAACCTGTCGCCGTGCCTGTCGCTATAACGATCGTAGTCGTCGCCGGACGTAAAACTAGCGGCTGGATTGGGCGTTAACGATTGAGTTCGAGACATTTGATTCGCCGATGCCCAGTGCTGGTTGCGAAGGCGCTCAATGATCCCGTTTATGTCGTCTTCGTGCATCGGCTCGTCGTCTTCATCCAACGGCCGGCTGCCGCTGGATGCAGAAGATCCTGACCGTCGCATGGTGGGTGAAGGAGAGTCTAATCTTGCGATGTGAAGGGAATGATGTTAAGTCTGTTACAGATTTAAGGAAAGTTTGGGACTAATAGAGGAGACGTCGCCGACGGTTCTAACAAAGAGCAGGTCGCATGATATGGAGCAATACATACACATTTTAGCTACCTCGGACTTTAATTACCTACTGCTAATATGCTTAAGACCGCCAAGCGTTGCGTACACTCGAACTGGAAGACAAGGCCTATTAGTGAAGCTAGCCGCAAACTCGAACAAAGCAACTGGTAACAGAAGTCCCAGGAAGGTAAGAACCCTTCGGCTGTGTGCAGTGTGGTGGTGTTACCTGGACCGCCGCTGCTGTGCCCTTCACGGTTTGGCAAGTTAGCAGTAGGACTCAAAGGGATGAAGCAGCCAGAGTACTCCACACGGGGTTCCAGAACTCAGATACAGACTATGAACCGCTTTGCTTACAGTCAAAACGTCTCAAAACGCGACAGAACGTACTCAACCGTACTAAACGAGGGGAAGCCATCTGCGAAGCAGTAGATCCAACCCAACCCCAAGACCACCAGCGATGCGGGGTCTCACTGTAGGGGCGGAGTGAAAAGGGGAAAAGGGAGGGGGAAAATGGGGTTTGGGGGGAAATAGGAACCGCGGGAGGGGGGAAACTGCTGGGTTTTGGGTGGGTGTGCGGGTGCAAGTGAGGCAAGGGGGACCCAGGAATGCTGGATAGTACACGGAAGGGGGGAAGGGGCCAATGCGGGGAGGGGGAGACGAGCCTGACTGAAAAACTTCTCTTTTTCCTCGGGTCCGTCCATCCAACGAGTCTGTGACTGTGACTGAAAATTTGGCGGAAACGAGGGGCCAGCCGAAGCGCCCCTGGGTTTCAATCAGCATGGCGCGCAGCTCTGCTAAAAAGATCAGAGGGTGACTTGTGACATAATTGGCCAAGAGACTGACACGCGAAGCCACGACTCGACTCTCCCGCTTTCGCAAAATTGCGGCGAACAAGGGCGAACGACCGTGCTGTCGCAATGTGCATGACGACCTCGATGTAACTACCTCGACACGTGGCAACCCTTTTGCTTGTGGCTGATTGACATCCGCGATTCAGGACATCCTCCGCTGCACATAGTGAAGGCCGTGTAGCCCAGAGATGAGCTTAACTTAAGATGTGCAAGATTTGTGGAACGCATGATCTTCAACACAAACAAGGAACAACAATGAATATAATAAAGTATTGCGGGCAACATATACCAGCAGTTAACCTCAATTAGCAGCCCTTTAACATGAGCACTACAGGTTAGCAAATGTAAGTCACTCAACGAAGAGTTGAGAGCTCATCAGTTAGCTCTGGAAATTCCAAACCACGGTCATTTCCAGCTCAGCCCAACGAAAGCACCAATGGACATTCACATTCCAGCTCACACTCATGACCACACTGAATCACGACTGACATACAGAGCAGAAACCCGATCACTTATCACAAGCTCCGCAGGACCATGCACCACACCTCCTGCACCTAGCCCCACCCCACCCCACCGAACACCCCTCCCCACCTCACCCTACAACACCACCCTTTTTATTTCCTTGGTTACCCCCCTCCTAAACCTAAACCTCCCTGCCCTCCACACCCTCATACAGTACCTTGCCCCTTGCCTTGCCTCTAAAGGCTTGCCTCGCCACACACCGTCACCACTCCAGGTTGCCCGGCCACCACTTCCCACACCTCAAAACCACTGCGCACACTGCTTCAACCCCGCCATGAACCACAATGGGCTGCACCGCCAGCACCTGCGCAGCGCACCTCATGCACGCCGACCTTCCCTCAAATCATCCACTCCCGTCCCTCTCATCCCCATCCCTCACCTTGCACTGTTCTGGCCCCTTTTGAGTCGACTCAATAGTCACCTCATGCACGCCGTCCCTCCCTTGAATCATCCATTCCTGTCCCTCTCATCCACATCCCTCACCTTGCACTGCTCTGGACCCTTGCTTCACAGCATCCCCCTTATCCCTCAAGTCGAGATCACTTCACAATGGGTTGCCTTGCACTGCCAGCATGCTGCGCACCTCATGCACACCTGATACTGTTACAGGCCCTCACAACGACCCTCACTTGGATTTGACCGCAATGGGTTGTACCGCAAGCACGCTCCGGACCTCATGAACACCGTCCTTCCGCGTGATGCTCCCAAACGTGAAGTTCTTCTAAACTGCCTTGCCGTGACGTGAGGAGAATCGTCATGCTGAACCGCGCCCGCTGCCCCGGCAACACACCCTCACTTGGATTTGACCTCAATCGGCTGCACAGCCAGCACGCTCCGCACCTCATGCACGCCGCTCTTCCACGTGATGCTCCCAAACGTGAAGTTGGTCTGCTGCACCCCCTAGCCCTAACCCTAGCCCTGATACTGTTACAGGCCCTCACAGCGACCCTCACTTGGATTTGATCTCAATGGGCTGGACGGCCAGCACGCTCCGCACCTCATGAACACCGTCCTTCCCCTGGAGTCATCTCTATCTCTTGTTACTGCTACAGACCCTCAATTATCAAGCCCTCTTCACAGCGACCCTCACTTGGATTTGATCTCAATGGGCTGGACGGCCAGCACGCTCCGCACCTCATGAACACCGTCCTTCCACGTGATGCTCCCAAACGTGAAGTTCTTCTGAACTGCCTTGGGAATAATCGTCACGTTATACGCCGCCCGCTGCCCGGGCCTCAGAGTCAGCTTCGACGGACTCACCGACACGCTCACCCCATCAGGCTTGACCAGGTACACCTTATACGTTGATGTTTTGAACTCCACGTTTGTCACCCACCGGGTCACGTTCACCGTCTTTTTCATCCTCCCCATAGCGATATTCGGCTGGTTCAGGTTGTACGTCTCGAGAGGAGAGAGCGCCGCTGCCGGAAAGGCCGCCTTGGCCTTTTTCGCGTCCAACCCCGCGAGGAAATTGATGTAGTTTGCCGCCCGGACGTCGTAAACTAGCCCTGGATTTAAGGATTTTCCCGGGGTAATATGCCCCGAGCCGAACTGCCACGGGGAGGCATACGTCCAATCCCACGACCGGATCCCCTTCCCCCACATATCCTTCACCGAAGCACTCGTCATCATTGCAGATTTCACCATTCCCGGGGTCCACCGGGGGTACTTCTGAATCAGCAGCGCCGCCACGCCTGCAGCGACAGAAGCAGCAGCAGAGGTGCCGCTGTCGAGCTTGAAACCGGGGGAGGCGGCGTTGCCGGCGTTGGTGGAGGAGAGGAGGGCGAGGCCGGGGGCGGTGATGTCGGGTTTGAGGATTTCGTTGGTGACGGTGGGGTTCTTGGGCATGGAGACCCAGGGGTCGAGGGGCGGGCCGGAGGAGGAGAAGTATGCCATGACTGGCGCGAGCGTGCCCTTGGGGAGGGTGTAGAGTACGGGGGAGATTGACACTGTGGGCCTGGTGGGACAGGGGAAGGGGATGGGAGGGGAAGCGGAGAGAGGAAGAGGGAAAAGGGTAAGTGGAAGAGGAATAGGAGAGAGGGAGTTGCTGGAGGAGAGGAGGGCGAAGCTGGGAGCAGTGATGTCTCGTTTGACCAAGTCGCTCTGCACCACCAGCAGCAGCAAAGCATTGCCATCCCTGCCTGGTGTCGGCCTTGCTAGTCCCTTACTTGGTGTTGCTGTTGTTGTGCAGAGCAACTTTTGAGTCGACTCAAAAGTTGCTCTGCACCAGCACCAGCAAAGCATTGCTATCCCTGCTGTGGGCTTACCTCATCACCTAACAAGGCTTACTTGGTGTTGCTGTCGTTCTTCAGATAGTCCTTGATCGCTTGCGAGATGGTCATGCCAAACGTCACCCCCGGGAACGCCCCGGTCACGGACCGCACGTACTGCCGCGGGCTCTGCACCACCAGCAGCACCACCTTGCCGCCAGCTGTCTGCACCGTCAGCGCCTTCTCCTCCAATGACACGCCGCCGTGCCAGCACAGCACGGCTGCTCCGATGACCTTGGCTGGGTCTAGAGTGCCCATTCGACACTGCTCTGCCTGGAGAGGGCAAGAAGGAGGAGGTATAGGAAAGGGGGGTAATAGAGCCAGCGCCTTCTCCTCCACTGGCACGCCGCCGTGCCAGCACGGCACGGCTGCTGCGATGACCTTGGTGGGGTCTAGTGTGCCCATTCGACACTGCTCGGCCTGGAGAGGGCAGATAGAGGTGGGGGAGAGAGGAGAGAGGGGGAGAGAGGAGAGAGGGGGAGAGAGTCAGTGGCTTTGCCTCCGCGCCAGCACAGCACGGCTGCTCCGATGACCTTAGCGCGGTCAAGCGTGCCCATTCGCGGTCAAGCAGGACAGTCAGTCCCCTGATCACCTTGGCGGGCGCTGGTCTGGGATACCCATGTGGCACTGTGGTCTGGGATACCCATGTGGCACTGCTCCGCCTGATGGGGTGGGGGCAAGTCGGTGGGAGAGGAGAGTTTGCATTTTCTAGACCCCCTATGACTCATAAGTCACGGGCACTCTCAAAGGTCTCAAAAGTCTCAAAAGTCAATCCGGTCATGCCATGCCCATGACCCCCCATGCCTGCCCGGTCATCTCCAGTTATCCCCCTCACCTCCTGAGGCAGGGCCTTGGCCGTGCCAGCCATCTTAGCGTCAACAAGAGGGAGGCTGGTGGTGGTCTTTACTGCATGATGGTCCTTTGCTCGCCCATACCCCATGGAACCGCTCTGAACCGCTCTGAACCGTCGAATCGACTCACCTCCTGAGGCAGAGCCTTGGCCGTGCCAGCCATCTTAGCATCAACAAGAGGGAGGTTGGTGGTGGACCTGAGGTCGCCCCCTTGCTGTGTGATGCCCGTGTACCACTTCCCGTCGCCCAGCGTGATCTTTGCTTGCCACTCCCGCGGAACGCCACTGGAACAGAAAGAGGGGGGTTGGGGAGTGTGGAGGAAGGAGGAAAAGAAGGGTGGTGAGTCACATAAAAAGCAATGCTATTGCTGCGCCCACGCTGCACCCACGCCGCACCCACGCTGCACCCACGCTGCACCCATGTGCTGCACCCATTGCTGCACCCATGCTGCATCCATGTGCTGCATCCGGTATCTACCCATGTTGCAGTGAAGGAGCTGCTGTGCATGCACATGAGCAGAGATGAGCCTGGCAGTCACTGAGATGAGCCTGGCAGTCAGTCACAATGACAACCTGGTTATTCACCTGGCAGCAACGGCATTCACCTGACAATCAGGTAATTTTTTTTACTTCAATGATATTCAACTGACAACCAGGTATTCACCAACAACCTGGTTATCCACCTGACAACCTGGTCGGTATTCACCTGACAACCGGGGAAATCACCTGATAACCAGGGAATTCACCTGGCAATCAGGGTATTAACCTGCAAATCAGGGTATTTACCTGACAAGAAAGGTAATTACCTGACAACCAGGGTATTCACCTGGCAACCTGGTTATTCACCTGGCAGCAACAGTGAAGATGTACGGAGACACGTTGGCAAGTGTGCGCTGCTGCCTTGCCCCCGGTGCCATGCCTTCGTTACCCGCTGCTGCCACCACAAACACTCCCGCCTGGCGTTGAGATGGGAGGAAGGGAACAAAGCAAGGGAGTGAAAACAGGGGGGACGGGGAGTGTGAGGTGGTGATGGTGTGGCGTGGAGGGATAGAGGGGCGGGTGCTGCTTTGCCCCCGGTGCCAGCCATGCCTTGGTTGCCCGCTGCTGCCACCAGAAACACTCCCGCCTGGCGTTGAGATGGGAGGGGAATAAAAGGGAGACATTGCAGCACGGGGGGGGGCCCTACTTAAACAGTCGTCATCTGTTCTCCCCAAGAGGGAGTAGAGCTCTCACATCGCCCACGCTGCTCTCCCCCACCCTTACCAGTACAGGATAGGAGGCGATGGGGAGGCAGGGGGAGAGGGGTTGCGGGGGGAGAGGAAATGGGGGGAGGGGGGAAGGGGAGGGGGAGAAGTGGGGGAGAGGGAAGGGGGAGGAAGAGGTCCCTACCTGAACAGCCCTCAGCAGGAAGAGGCCCCTACCTGAACAGCCCTCAGCAGGAAGAGGCCCCTACCTGAACAGCCCTCAGCAGGAAGAGGCCCCTACCTGAACAGCCCTCAGCAGGAAGAGGCCCCTACCTGAACAGCCCTCAGCAGGAAGAGGCCCCTACCTGAACAGCCCTCAGCAGGAAGAGGCCCCTACCTGAACAGCCCTCAGCAGGAAGAGGCCCCTACCTGAACAGCCCTCAGCAGGAAGAGGCCCCTACCTGAACAGCCCTCAGCAGGAAGAGGCCCCTACCTGAACAGCCTTCAGCAGGAAGAGGCCCCTACCTGAACAGCCCTCAGCAGGAAGAGGCCCCTACCTGAACAGCCCTCAGCAGGAAGAGGCCCCGACCTGAACAGCCCTCAGCAGGAAGAGGCCCCTACCTGAACAGCCCTCAGCAGGAAGAGGCCCCTACCTGAACAGCCCTCAGCAGGAAGGCGGAGTTGAAGTTTTCATCGTCGGTGCTCCCAATGGGTAACAAGAGGAGAAAACGCCCTCACCTGAACAGCTCTAAGGAGGAACGCGGAGTTGAAGTAATCATCGTCGGTGCTCCCAATGGGCAACAGCAGCACGTCGACGCCGTCCCGCACAGCCTGCTCCACAGCAGCCATCACATCGCCCACGCTGCTCTCCCCCCCCCACACCGCCTTGTACACCGCTATTCTCGCCCGCGGCGCCATGCCGCTCATCCGACCAATCACGCGGCTCCGCGGGCCCACCCTGAAGGGAATATTGCTGTTGCCGGCCGCAGCGCCGGCACACCAAGTGCCGTGCCCCGTGCTGTCCCTAGGGGAGGCGTATTCCCCCTTCGGATACCCCTTGTTTGCCTTGAGGTAAGCCGCTGAGAAGAATTGAGCGGCGATGATTTTGTTATTGCAGGAGGTGGCTTTAAAGTCTTTGGTCGCCGCGCATTTGCCCCGCCAGGTCCTTTTCGGGCGGAGATACCCCCGCCCGGAAAACGCGGGGTGCTCCGGCCAAATACCCGAGTCCACCACGCCTATAATCACGTTTTCCCCTGCCCGGTTCGCCCCGCCGAGACCTTTCCAGACTACAGAGGAGAGGTTGAGAAAGGCGGGTGTGATTGTAGTGAGGGGAGCGAGCGATCTCGACGGCTCGATTCGATCGACGGCTGGATGGCGTTTGAGCCGATGCAGCTGGGAGGGTGTGAGTGAGACGCAAAACGCGTTACTTAGGTAAGTGTAGGAGTAAAGGAGATCGGAAGGGGAGAGGCCGATGCTGGCGGCCGTGTGGGAATGGAGGGAGGCGAGTTGCTGAGTGTAAGCAAGCACGTGAGAGGCTTTAGGATCGGGCCTGGGGGGAATTGGTGTGGGATTTTCGTTTGTGGTCCCCACTGCTGCCACGTCAGCATCGGCGTCAGTGGCGGCGGCAGTGGCAGTGGCTTCAAAGCCGGGAACGCCGCCGGTGTAACTGACAGCGGGTGGTAACCCTCTCATGTATACAGTGTACACTTGGTTACTGTAGCTCCTCCTGCTGCTACTGCTGCTGCTGCTGCTGCTGCTGCTGCTGCTGCTGCTGCTGCTGCTGCTGCTGCTGCTGCTGCTGCTGCTGCTGCTGCTGCTGCTGCTGCTGCTGCTGCTGCTGCTGCTGCTGCTGCTGCTGCTGCTGCTGCTGCTGCTGCTGCTGCTGCTCCCACTGTCTCCTCTGCTTTCACTGCCCCCACTGCCCCCACTGCTCCCACTCCTCTCACTGCTCCCACCAGTAATTATTCGAAAATCCTCTTGCTGTTGCTTCAGTCGCAAGGCAGCATCCGACAAAGCTTCCTTTGGAGCAACGGAAGCTGCCGTGGCGAGGTGGGACGAGTACAACACTGACGTGGCAGGGGAGTCCGACAAAAGGTCCGATGCTGACGTGGCGAGGGGTCCGTCCAGCTGTTCATGGAATCTCGCGTGGTGCAGCCAAAGGGGGAGCGAGTCGGTGTCGGTCAGACCGCTGGCGGCACGCACACGTGGCACGTGGGCTGATGGTGGGGGGAGAGGGGGGAGGGACAGGGTGGGAGGGGAATGGAATGGGTGGTGCAGCCTAAGGGGGAACGGGTGAGACTGCGTCGGTGGCGGTCAGATCGCTGGCGGCGCGCACACTTGGCGTGAGCGCTGAGGAAAAATAGGAGGTGGTTTCGAGTGTGTGGAGGGGTGGGGGTGGGGTGGGGGAGGAGACGGCAAAGAGGAGGTGGGTGGTTTTGAGTCGACTCAAACGTCAAACGCTGGCGGCACGCACACGTGGAGTGAGGTCTCTCGGAAAAAAGAGGAGGGAAACGAGGAGGTTGGGACGGTGGATAGTTTTGAGGGAGGAATGGGGGGAGGATGGGTGGAGGAGGAAAATAGGGAGAAAGGGGGGAACGGAATCAGTCAGAAAGGGGTCGTTGCTTTTTTCTGAGTTATTTATGGCTGAGTGCGGTGGAGGGAGGGTGAAAGGAGGTGGAAAGGGATGGAAGGGGGTGGAAGGTTGGGGGCAAAGGGGGGAAGTGGGGAACGGAGGGGGTTGGGTTGGAGAGGGAGCGGGAGGAGAGGGAGGAGGATGGAGGTTTCCGAGGCGGCGAGCACGGGAAAATCGGGTGGAAGTGCAAGTGGGCCCATAGGAAAAGTCGGGAACTAAACACACACGCACACTCAAATGCACGCGCACGCGCACACCGACGCGCGCACTCACGCGCGCGCACACACAATAAGGTAAGGGAATGTATTATCTCTCGCTTTATGGTGTGGCGATACCCTACTGCACCGTGTGGCATCGCGCGACTCACTGGAGGCGACGAGAAGAGCGACGAGCGACAGAAGCAGGCGATCTGTGCGATCCATGTCGTGCGACCAGTTCGCGAAACCTGAGTTTCGCTCACGAAGCGATGGCGTTCCGATCAAAGCGACGGCTTCTGCGACAAAATCCACAGTGTCTCTTTACGACGGTGAACGAGAAACTAGTTGCGGTACGCTCGCGGTCCGCCCGAAAAAACTCTGATACAGTGCGGTTATTGCGACAGGGCAAGTTATTCGAAGGCGTTTTGCGTGCGACTGCTCTAATTTCGCGTTTGCGACGATCTTTGAGTCGACAACTAAATCGTTTGCGAAGAGAAAAGCTGTTAGAAGCTGTCTGCTCTAATTTACCGCGCACGTACTACAGACGGTACGACACAATTCCACGTCGAATTTCTTGCCGGTTAGCATGATTGGAACCATCCATTTCTCCCATGCTTCCTAAGCCGGTTCAAGGAAAGCACACAGGAAAGGCGAAAATATTTAGGTACTGCGTAAAAGACCACTCGTAAGGCTACGGCTGCAGCTGTGTCTAATAAGCAGTCACGATTACCGCTCGCATGCGCTAAGCGCGATGGAGCTCAAATGGCGTCCTGAAGAGATTAGATAGGGCAGTGTGCTGAAAAACGACGGCGAACGCCACGGAAGGGAGGGCTGTTACGAGCAAAGGGTGTCTAAAAATGGCGAATGGAACGTGTCGAGACACGCGGTGGGATGAATGAAACCCTAAAAAACGTTTGTCAGATGGAAGGAAATGTAATGCCAGCATAATCGCGACACCATATCACCACTTTTCAATCAGTGGTTGTGAAGTCTGAGGGTTCGTGAATTGTGACTGATGACTGTGTGTGTGGGCGTCTGCTCAGCTGCCTCACACACACCACAAATTACTACTGAGCGGGCTGGTTGGGCAGGTACGTTAGGCGACGGGAGGGTCCCTTCTGCATCCCTCGAGCCATGGCTGAGTAGAAACTGTTTGAGAGGTGCGATGCGAAGCTTTCCATCCAGAGGTCGTAGCTAGTTTGTATCTGTCATTACGTTAGTTGTGGAATGTTCGGCGTAATGTCAAACTTATGTGTCAATAACCAAGACACCGGATCTGACACTCGCGGGAAGAGATCGGGTCGAGTCGGGTGCAGTACATCACTTGTTCAAAACACGTCCTGAGTTGCCTGATACGTTGTGGAACGCTGTGGCGAACAAAAACGCCGAATTTCGCTGCCAGCGCTACCCGCGTCTCGTGTGTGCCCAAAACACAAGCAGGACCTGGGGGGCAGCAAAATGGCAGCCCTTGGTGGCCGCCGCCAGCAGCCGAATTGGCAAACCGCAAACCGCGACAACAATGACCAATGTCGTCGATTCGTTACAGCAGCTGTACGAGATTCGCAACCAATTACGCTATGTGCTTGTAGCGAGCTCACCAATCAGCTTGGTTGGTGAGAGTTCATCTGGAACATGGTAGGCTCCCTCTCAGGTGTGAGGTTTGGCAGTTTCTCGAATGTCCAACCAACACAGAAACTAGGCGAGGCGCAGAGGTTTTTGAACGCCCTGGCGAAACAGCCGGCTTTCAACTGGTAACCTGAGCCAGGCAGGCCTACGCTGTCTCAGTCGAAGCACCTCTTAAAGAGTCAATGCAGAGTAAGTGAAATTTCTGAAAAATTAATTACGATATGTAGTCAAGAGTTCTGATATTATCTAATGCCTGCTTGACATTTCATAGAAAGTGAGGTTGGGCTTGCATTTCTGCTTCCGGCAGAATTGAATCTAAACACCCATTCAAAAAGAAGGGCCCACTGGTATTTAATTAGAATACATACCAGACAGCTATCAGTCCTGCTGACGTGGCAGTGTACAATACATGGATTCCTAAAACATGCAGTCCTCTAACTTCTTATTGCCCTCCTTGCGGCTTTATGCCACAGCGGGAAGCTCGCCAGTGTTGAACGCAGAGAACCGGCAGTCAGTCGCGGTGACGGAAGACGTCTCATAGTCAGAAACCTTTCCGTCAAGGAAGCCCTTGCCCTCCGCTCCGTCAACGGAAACGGGATGGTGCAGAACGGCAGCCAGACGGGAGAAGTCGGTCGTACGCTTCTCCCTGCCGGTACGGTACGTCTGGCCCATGACACCGTGCACGTCAGCAGTGGGTGCCACGTCAGTGAACATCACGTTGATGTGCGTCTCGGCGTCGTCAGGCGTCTGGAGGAGCGGGTGGGCGACGCGGAGCCTCAGATCCAGCTCCATCTGATCGCCGATCTTAACCGTGTATGCATCCACATCGTACGGTCCAACCTTCTCGATCTTGTTGAAGGTGAGAGTCAGATCAGCGATCTTCTTGCTCTCGCCGACCTTCATCCTCGGAAGTGCCTTGGTGTCTGCGACGATGGATTTCACGAAACCGTCGCCACGGGCCTGCTCCTTGCCGTCACGAGCGGTCATGACGAAGCTGTGCGACGAACCGTCGCGCGACCTCCACATGATCGCGAGCTGGCGAATCCACGTGCGAACCGCCTTGCCGTTCACGATGAGCGCGGCGCCATCGGTGCGGTCGTCGTAATATCCACGCATGCCCATGTTGATGTGCATCTGACGGTCCGTGTACAGGCAGAAAGATTTCTCGGGCAGCCCGTTGAACTCGAAGCGCGTTCCGTGCGCGCCGAGGAAATGCGGGTCGTCCTTGGTGGTCGGGCAGGCCTTGCCGATGCGGATCTTCTTTCCGCCGCCCTTCACGGGCTCGATGCCGTCGATTGCGGGGAGCAGGATGCACTTGCCGCAAGGCTTTCCGGAGCAAGTGTCGGAGCTTCCTCCGGAGGATCTACGAGGGGACGAGGGGTAGAATCAACGCACGAGGGGAACGAGAGGAAACGAGAGAGAAGGCTGTTATGAGTACATGAGAGGCAACGGTACGGCTTGAAGGCAAAGGGGGAAATTACTAATGGAAATGCGAACGCGAAAGGGGGGTTGGGGAAGAGGAAGAGGATAACCTGGTATTGGGAAGGGCAATGGAGAGTACTGATTCCAAGGGATCTGTAAGGGACAAAGATCACGAGAGGGGATGGTAGGGAAAGCGACGTACGGGATATGCACCCAGAAGCGGCAGTTGAAGGAGGTGGTGCCTGTGGTGTTGCTGCACTTGTTGCAGCACGCCTTGGCGTGAATGCTGCCCGCCGCGCAGTACGGCTTCGACGACGACGGCGGGGAGCTCACGCACGCGCCGTATTCGGGGATCTGCGCGTGGGGAAGGCGGGATGATGCGGAAGGGGGCAGAAGAAAATGAGCGCGGGCCATGAGCGGGAGGAAGTCGGGTCCAGAGACAGGGACGAGGGGAAGGGCGAGGCGATTCTGCCAAGAGGCACACGGGATTGATAGCCGACTGGTTGGGGTAATGGTGCTAACCGTCCAGTAGTCGAACGAGCCGGAGGTGTAGTCGCAGCCGCCCTTGGTGCATAGGCCCTTGAGGTCTTGCGGGTAGGGCTTGGCAGCTGGCTTTGCGGCGTGCGCAGCGGCCGCCATTGCCAGAACGGCGATAAGAATCGCGAGCCGGGATGCCATGGCGACGCTGCTTCTGTGAGACATGCACTGGCTGGAATCTATTACTGGTACTGTTCAGCAAGCTGTTGACGAAACTTGATAAACTAAGAGGAACTGGAGATCAGTGCCTGTTTCAACACTCCGCGCCCTTTTGATGTCGTAAGAGGATCAAGGAGCACACACCGCAGGTTGAAGGCTGCTCCTGAGTATTCCCATGCGACGACAAAGCGATGGGACCACGGACAACGTAAGGACAGAAACAACACTTCTCGGGCAGCGTGTACGAAGTTAGGGTGCTTTCCGATTAAGGTGGAGTCGCCTGGGAGACGCTCAGTTTAGTAAAAAAGAGGCATCTTTCTACGCTGAAACGGAGAGAAAGGGCAAGGACGGTGAATGTAAATATTAACGAATCTGACCGAATTCTGAGATGAGTTTTTTTGCGGCTACAAGACAGCAATCACCCTGGCTCCAGCACTTTCCATGTGCGGTGAAGGTCTCCTCCAGAACACTGTCCTGGCTGGCGGAATCGAACAGCTATAGCAAGCCAGCTACACCAAACGAAGGGCCAACAGAAGTGATACACCTGAATGGTCATCTGCGCCTTGTCCGGAACAGAGCTCGATAGCTTCTCGGAGCAGGTGAGAAGCTGTAAAAACACCTGACAGTGCACAACGGACAATCACTTGCGCAGCGTCACTAACAGTGACTTCGCTACCGAAATCAGCTGTCGTTGGAACTGAATATTCCTGCAAGTGTTTTCCTATACCAAGTTTTTCTGCTTTGTCTGTTTCAATCCTAATGGTCTCGTCAGATCTTGAGGGCTGAAGGAATATTTGAAGAATGATCTGGATTCAACATCTTTGTGTTGTATCACACAGAAAACCCTAAAAAAAGAACCCACTATAACACCCCCACCCACCCCCCCCTCCTCCCCCCCTCCCCTCCCTCCCCCCTCACTACATTCCCTAGTCCCATAAAAGCGCGCATGAATAGAAAGCTGAAGCCGACACGAGCGAGGTCTACTCCAAACAGCAGTCCACCCTAAGCTCGGGGCAGCGGCAGTCTATTCCATGCTTGGGTAGCAGCGGTCTATCCCATGCCGAATTCCCCCGGAACCGAAGTCAGGAAAAGCCTGCAGCAGCAGCCAGCAGCAGTGGTGGTGGTACGGGCGGCCTCGGGGGGGAAAGGACTCAGAGATCAGTCATGAATCGGCTCGTCAAGCATTGTACCAGCAGCATGTGCAAGGCTTGGTGCAATGCCGAGCGCAGCAGCAGCAGTGGCAGCAGCAGCAGCAGCAGCATATTTGCAACAAATGGACAAAGGCAGAACTGCTTTCCACCAACCCTTCCAGATCCCGCTTCCCCCCACTTCTAGCCCCCTCTCTCCCCCTCAACCCCTATCATTTCCCTCGTGTAACTCCCATGGCTGCATCTCCATCTCGGGGGAGATAATCCAGCCACTGAAACCCTCAGCCCTGGGGTCCAGACAACGCACCCAAACGTCTAACCAGCCCAGCAATATGGACTCCTCTCCAGCACCTGTACTCTAAGTTGTCTGAAGAAAGATCTTCGCACCACCATTATCCGGCAACACTTGAGAGTCTTCCCCATTCTACCCGCTCCCATTATTCTTGTAATAATTACCAAAATGATGGGCATCACTGATGGGTACACTGTCTTTTCCCATCAGCCATCCATGCATCAACTGCAACCCACCAATGTAACAGCTGCCACCCACACATGAAGCAGCTGCCATTCACCCACGTTAAAGCTGCTTCACATCACACAGAGCAGCTAGCCCTGCCTTTTGCCTTGCCCCCACCCAGCACGTATCGAGGTGGTTTTTGAGGCGCCTCAAACACAACACCCATGCAGCAGCTGCTTCGCCTCACACAGAGCAGCTAGCCCTGCCTTTTGCCTTTCCCCCACCCAGCACTTTTAACTTTCCCTTCCAGAACCCCTCCCCTTCATCCTCCCCCCCCCCTTGGGCCCCACTCCCCCCTGCTTGCTCCCTTCCCCCATGTTTCCTCGCTTCTTTCCTGTCATCTTCCCTCCCGTCCATCCTTCCCTCTTCCTTCAGAATCTGCCATGCCTCTCCCTCTCTCCCACGCTCGTTGGCCCCATCACCTTCGCTTCCCCCATCTCCCTTCCCGCCCCATGGGTTCGATCCAACGGTTGCGCTCGCCCGTAGCCCCACTTTCTCCAGCCGGGTAGATAGAGAATTTCTTCGTAACCTGCCCCGAATCTGCCCAGCCGTTTCATCCCCTCTCCCTGCTCCGGCTTCGCTCCCAGACCCTTGAAGTGACAACCTCCTTCCTCTCCTCCCCGCCCCTTCCTCCTCCTCCATCTCCTCACTCCCCCCTCCCTGTCCACCACCCCCTTTGCCCCAACCTTTCCCAAACAGCTTAAGCCACATCTTTCCGAGTGAACCTTCCCCTCCCTTCTGATTGCTGCCACTACTACTGCTACTCATCAAACCACCAGAGCCAGCAGCAACAGGAGTGGAACTACCAGCAGCAGCAGAAGCCGCGGCAGCAGCAGCAGCAGCAACAGCGGCAGCAGCAGTGGGTGTAGCAGCAGAGAACCCGCTAGCAGTACTACTGGCAGGGCTGGCGTCACCACCCCCCCAACCGCTCTGCACCGGCCAGAACCCTCCGGATTTCACCGTGTTCAGCGGGCTTTTAGGCCCAAACGCTTTAAACACCTTGGAAGTACGTCTAGGTTTAGAGGAGGGAGGCACGGGCGGGACTTGGGAGCGGGAGGGGGAAGTGGTGGAAATGGGGGAAGCGGAGGGAGAGCTCTGGTAGTCGGGGAAAGCAGGGCGGCTGGTACGGTCAGGAGCAGGTGAGGAGGGGGCGAAAGCAGTAGCAGGAGAGTTAGTCTGTCCTACTGCTGCTCTTGCAGGTGATACTGCTCCAGTTGCTCCTCCCTTTGCTCCCACTCCTGCTGCTCCTGCTCGTCCATACTGTGGGGATCGCAGCATTACCTCGGAACGACCATCTATACTGGATGCGCAGGAGCGAGCAGGAGAGGCCAGGTGCATCGAACCACCGGGCGAGGCCAGATACGTGGAATCTGCCACACCAGAACCGGCCGCACCACCAGCTGCTGCTACTTCCGCACCTCCCCCCAAACCTCCTGCCGCAGCATGCCGGTCGCAGTCCGTGTAGGTTCGGCGGAGGACAGGAACGGCGACAGAACTCGCAGGAGACTGAGGCGACGCAGACGGCTCGGACACAATACTCGTAGATGCACCAAACCGGTCGGTTACGCGGTAACCATCGCTCCCAGCCATTGGAACACAACTGTCGCTCCCAGGCCCGGGTTTCCATTCTGAGCTAGAGCTCGGCGGTAAAGTCCATTTCTGAGACGCACCAAAAACTGCTATGTCCCCACCAGTGTCCCCACCAGTGGCCCCACCAGTGGCCACACCAGTGGCCACACCAGTGGCTATATCCCTGCCGCTACCAGCAGTGGCTATGTCTCCAGCGCTACCTGCACCAAGGAACCTGCGGCTGCTGCTGGCACTGCCGCTTCTGCCACTGTCACCGCGCGGGTAACCAGGAGAGTAACCACCAGCACTAGGGTTACCACCAGCGATCCTGCCAGTAGGACCGAAAGCAGTACTGCTGCTGTTGACATTGTGTTCTGCACCTGTGCATGTTCCCTCAAGCTCCTCGATCTCTTGCGCTAGGCTGCTTCTTCTGTTACCCGCAGGCGCCAAATCCGGAAAAGCAACTCTGCCTGGAGAAGATGAGCTTATAACGGGGACAGACTGTACTGATCCGGCTTCCTTCTCCAAATCCGCGAGCTCTCGAGCCAGAGGGCTCGACCGAGGGGGGAGGTTGGAGTCCCGCAGAGGGCTGCTCCTGTGTGGCCCATCCACTGGGGTGTGACTATAAGAGTTGCTTCTTGAAGCGTGACTATACGAGCCGTCCATGTCCGGAAAGGCATGTGAGGAAACCGCAGCAGTGGCAGCGGAAGGAGAAGCAGAGGAGCCCAGTCTGGACAGCCGTGACGGTGTGATGGAACCCGAAGGCGACATGCCAGGAGACACTCCTGAAACCGCACCCTTCCTCCCTTGACTGCTCATTGTCCTTCTTCCTTGCACCGCTTCCCACCCCTCTCCACCCCTTCCGCCCTCTCCCCGCTCGCCCTCCTCCCCCTCGTCCAGTCCACTCGATCGTACGTTCCAACTATGGCTGTGCACAAACGCGCGGTCCCCTCTCTGCGCCGCGGCCACTGCTGCCGAAACACTCCGCCACTCAAACCCCAACCCAGGACCCCCTCCATCCTCCCCACCCCCATTCCCATCTCCTTCCCCCCCATGCCCTTCCCGCAACGCCCCCTTCCCCCCGTCCTCGTCGTCCCCTTCCTGCATGGCGGCTGCGAGCTGGGCGAGGGCCTGCGGGGGTAACGTTACGCTCATGTTCCACCCGCTTCCATCGCTGCCCGCGATGCCAGCTGTTGGCCTCTCATTGATCGAGAGACGTTTTCCCGAGCCTGAGCCGCGAAGGGCAGCAGGGGAGCCGAAGGAGGGCGCGATGGGGGGGGTGGAGGTGCCTCGGGGGGGGTATCCCGGAGAGGGGCGGGCAGGCGCAACTGGGGACGGTTCAACTGCGGTAGGCCGAGATTGCAGCTCTGCTCCTCCTCCTTCTCCTCCACTGCCGTCCCTGCTGCTATCAACGGCATTTGCCTTGGCCGACCGACTGTTTCTATCTGCTGGTCTCACGGGTTGACCCAGGTCAAGGGACGGGCCTACCGGCCGGATGGGTTGACCGAGGTCAAAGCAGGGGTCAACGGCGCACCCTGACACATCCGCCCCCACTCCCACCAGCACCTCCCCCACCTCCTGCAGGAGCCTCTGTCTCGGCGTGAGACGACTGCCCGCACTCCCCCTCCCCCCGCTCCCCTCGCAACTGTTCCGCCCGGTACCTCCCCCTTTCCGCCTGCCTCTTCCCCGCCCGATTCCCGGATCCGACGCGGGGAGTCGCTGCCACGTGGCACCCTTCAGCGCTTGCCCCGTCACCAGGGTGGCACCATCAATCCACCCTGAGTCATCATCATCATCATCATTATCCCTACCGTCCTTGCCGTCCCTGCTGTTCCTACCCCCAGCATCGCTCCCCCCAGCTGCTTGCTGCTGCTCTCTCGTCTGTTGATCCTGACCGTTCGATCTGCTGCTTCTTGACCCTGTACCTGTTCCTGTACCGGCCGCTGGCATCCCTTCCGCTTCCCCGTCTGCGGAACTCCGCCTATTGTCACAGTTCTCAGGATCGCCCGCTTCATCCTCCCCCCTAAGCTCTGCCCTGTCCTCCCCACCACCACCACCACCATCACCTTCACTATAATCACCATCATCCTCGTAATCATCCCACCCCCCTTCCTCAACCTCCTCCCCCTCCTCGCTCTCCTCCCCATCCTGACTCTCACCTGCGGGAAACGAATCCTCCGACTTGGTCCGATACGCGAACGGCGCGTCGTGGTAGATCGTCAGCGGCGGCGGCTGCGCGCCTTCCTCGATCTTTCCTCTGTGCGAGCGGAAGGTCGACGCGAACGACTTGCGGATGTTGTCGCGCGTCGCGTCGGGCAGCGGCGCGCCCGAGTGCAGGTCGCACTTGCGCGCGGAGTAGAGGAACGCCGTGCGCACGCGCCCCAGCAGCCCGCGCGCCTGATCCTTGGTGAGCGGGTCGTAGCCCAGACAGAAGAACACGATTCCGTCCTTTGCCATCAGAAACAGCACGAACAGCCGCCCGTGGCCCTGGGAACGGGGGGTGGGGACGGGGGGAGCGGTGGAGGCAGAGGGGGGGGAGCGACGGAGGGGAGGGTCGGGGGTAGACGGAAAAAGGGGGCCTTTCGATCTGCTCTCTTGGTGAGGTATGTGCGGACTGCGGAACAACGCGCCCCAGCAGCCCACGCGCCTGCCTGATCCTTGGTAAGCAGGTCGTTGCCCAGACAAAAGAAGACGATTCCGTCCTTTGCCATTAGAAACAGCACAAACAGACGCTCGTGGCCCTGGGAACGGGGGTTGGGGAGGGAACAGGATGAGGAGGGCGGGAGGGGGGGAGGGAGGAAATAGGGTGGAAGGCGGGAGGGAAGAGGGAAGGAGAAGAGCAAAAGAGCGGAGGACCCGGGAGAGAAGATGGAGAAGGTTATCACTGTCCGTTATTCGCTCGAGGTCCTTGCAATGGTTGCGTTTAAGATTCCTGCCAACAGTGACAGAATCTAGGCGACTTCTGGGACGCCTGAAAACAGTCTCATTGTCCGCGACTCGCTCGAGGTCATGACAATCGTTGGGTTCCTGGTGACAGGTACAGAGTTATTAAACGCCTGAAAAGGCAATCGCTGCGTTCGATATCCAGGCTTACAGTCACTAAAGGGCTCTGCGACATTTGAAGTCTAGAAAAAATGTGATCTTTCAGTTTGATCAAGCGTCAGGAGAGCAAAAAAAAACAAAAACAAAACAAAACAAAACAAAAAAAGGGACGCTTGAACAAAGCGGCGGCCAATAGAGCACATGACGGCGGAAACATTGTTCGAGCAATATTGTATTGTTGCTACATTCGAGCACCGGAAGGAGCAATATGTAGAATCTCAGGACAGTTGAGAAAATATCGGTGACAAATTATGCCTAAAAATCATAATAGTGCCTTTTTTTTCCCTTCGTGTCGCAAAATTCAACCTTACCATGGAGATTTGCGATGCATGTTCCGGGAGAGCGGGTAATGCGGAGGAGATCGCCTCTCGGTACGCGTCCCGGTCTCGGCCGTAATCCGCGAGAATATTACCCTTGCTCGTCGCAATCCCCGCGTACGCCACCAACTCTACTTCCTCCATCTTCAACGAACAGTCTTCACCTTAGAGAGTACCCGTATATTATACACTTAAATTGGAGCCTCTTCGATCGTGCAACGAGAGTTGCTAGGAAGCAATGTCAGAGCAGTCAATCCAGAAATGTAAGCGACACTGCAATGGTGGCCATAAATGTGATCACAAAGCCCGCGAGTTCGTCTGCTTAACTAAATAAGAGGCAACGTTACGCCGAACCTCGGGCGATGGCTGCTGACTGGGAACTGCTGCCACTAAGATATGATCCTATTGCGAGAATCACGGAATGAAGACGTTGTGCTAGGTGTGCCTTGGGAATATCAGGCAGATAGCCAGGTGGTGCAGAACATGACATCTGTTTGTTTGTTGTTACTACGGTATACTACGTTCCTATACGGTTTGTTTTTGCTAGACTCGGGGAACAAGCAAGATCGGCGTAGTAGGTGGAGGCTGCGCCAGGGCTGCTAGGCGGAAAACTATCTAGCCGGGGGAGTGAATGAAAGCTTGGCGCGCATATGCGGCGCATTCAAGCCAATCCACATTCTTATGTGATGTGCGGGCAGAGAGGCCCGTTGGAGGGAAGTGACCCTAAAGGACAATGGTCAAGGTGCACTAGTTCTGAATCTTGAGATGTGTACATCGAGGATTTTGTAGCATAACACCAAGCTAAGAAAAAAAACTAGGATACTGTTGAAATGAAAACAACAGGCCCAACCAAGTCACACTCCACACACACACACACACACACACACACACACACACACACACTCACTCACGAGCACTCTATTTCACTAATGCACACTCTTGTATGTCAAAAAATATTTACAAAACATCAAAACCTAAAGAAAATTACGCTTGCGGTTATACCTCTGCTGGTGAGGAGTTATTGTAAACATTATAGCAATAGCAAGCAGCTATCGTTGCATTCTCCACCAAACTTATTATATTTGTAAGACATACCGGTACTCATACCTCGTCGTCCGTCAAATACGCATCTAGTCCATTCATTTTCTGATGAAGCACTCTCAACCTGAGAATATCCCCAGAGAAAGTTGACCGTGGCGTGCCTATAAAGATGCGTGCATTAGCGCATATATGCTTCTCCGCGAGCGCCCTGAGTATACCATCCTCCTCTGAGTCCAGATCCTGGAAATTCCTCACCCAGGGAAATTGTGAATACTCCTCGGATCCCTTAGCAAACTCGGGCAGGCGCACTACCACAAGGGGTCTCCAGCTACCAGAACCTGAATGGTAGGGAGCAAGGAAGATCAATGGTTAGGGCATGGGAGGTGGAATAGAAGGAACAGGGCAAGAATATACATGATAACAATTAGACAAATGTAGAGTAAGTTAGCAACCCCATAGGAATACTTAGGCAAGTCACTCTAGGAGAGACTGAGAAATTACTTCTCCCCATAAATCAGTAGGATGCATAGAGCTAGACTGGGGTTGAGAAGCAACGGTGTACACTCACCAAGAAACAGCTTCTCCAGCAGTTGAATCTCGGACGGGCTTGCATCAGTTGCGAGGTACACCACGGACACGCCCGTATCCCTCAAACGCTCGATGACGAAATAAGCGACAGTGACGATAGGAAGGAAAGAGCTACGCTCCCTTCCATTGTCCTCCTTCCGATAAGTCCTGGAGAAGTCGCTTCGCCTTAGGTGCAGCGCTGCATACTCTGACCCCAGAAAAGTGTCGATGAATCCATTCACGAAGTTCTCTATAACGGGGGGAGGCTGCCAGATGTCCGCGCAGGTGCTTGTAAAGGGCGCAACCGCGCCCTCGAAGTAGAAAGGAAGCCCGCGCAAACCCATTCCATAGGCATCCCCAAGGCTGATGACAGGAGCGTCATTGTAGGGGATGTATGCGCGCAGAAAGTCGTTAACGTCTTTGGAGGGTATGCTGGGGTACTCGAGCTTGCTGGGTAGCGTGATGTGCGGATAGTGTTCCTTGATCTGTAGCATGTGAACGGGATTGGGTCAGATGGGGATGGGTATGGGGATGGCTGAGCGTGGTGGGGCAAATCAAGCATTCCGGCAGAGTAGTAACGTGCTGGTAGTGCCCTGGATCACTGGGATGGGGATTGGGGGTGGGGATGGAGATGGGGGTGGCTATTCTGGTTCAGATAGAAAGGCGACTGCAGCGAGACGTTTGCGTTCACATGGGTTCGGCGGTGGGAACGGGAAAGGAATTAGGGTAAGTTGGGGACGGGGATAGAAAAGAGGGTGTTGATTCGGATGGAGTGGCTGAGCACGCTTCAGATACCCAGGATAATAGAGAAGTGCTGCTCACCCTGGCCCAGTTGTCGAGACACGAATGGTTCGAAAAGCACGCAATGTGATCGATTGCCACGTCACGACCCTCCCTCGCCACGTACTCATCCACCGTAATAACTGTCTCGTTAGTGCCATACGCCGGCGCGAGGCACGCCCTCATTCTAGGCACATCCACGATATTGTCCCATCGCCAGCAGAACGTCGCGAAGGCCACGCCGCAACTCTCGGTAGGAATAACAAGAGTTCGCTGCAGAAACGCGGCGGCGATTAAGTAGTTCCGCAAGCACCGTTCCTGATTGGACAGCCGCCCGTACACGCACAGTGCCAGAAGATACCGGTTTTTTCGGGGAGTCCAGGATTCGATCTTCGGCTCGTTCAAGTCGATCTGCTGCGCCGACGGGTACGGAGATTTGATCTTCCTCGGCTTCGGCTTGTCGCCGTTTCTACCCTTCTCTCCCTTTGCCTCTATAACGGGGATACGGTCTCCGTTACTGGGTCCGCTTTGCATCAAGTGCACAATCTCTGCCAAGGCCCGTCTTACGGTGTGAGGCTCCCTCGGTGCTACGTTTTTCCCTGCGCCCCCTGACGAGCTGAGAGTCAAGCTAGCCCTACTGCTGTGGACTTCGTCGCGGCGGCGTTTGACATTCTGAATGATGCTGCTGCTCTGTCGTATTTTCAGAGGAACCGAACCGCCACGTCTCCCGCTTCTGACAGTGGTCCTGTATGCGGATATTCTGCCTCCGTAGATTTTCACGCTATCTACGATCTTAACAGAAGGCTTTCCGCGAAACTTCCCAGCTGTAAGCGGCGATAGGAAATCCCTCCAGTTTTCGTTTATTTTTCCCCAATGTAGGGACCTTCGCCATGTATCTGGTAGCGATAACGCATGCTCCCTTGCGGTTTCAGAGGCGACCAAGGCGCATTCGAGGTTACAAAGTAGCAGCGACGCTAAGAATAAGCTTAGATTGATGCTTCTAGCATGAGTGGAAGATGAACAAGGGACAAATTTCATGCTCACCATTGTGAACTCACGCGGGGACGAGAGGAATTAGAGAGAGTTTTGGCGTGAATATTCTACTATATATGTGACTCAAGTCTCGCAATAAACAGTGAGTCACAGCGGGAGCTCTTTATACTCGCGACAGTTTCACCTCGAGCGCCTTATCTCATCACCAGACCCAGTCCTGCTCTTGTGTCTTGACTGAGGAAATGGTTTGGGATGTGTGAAGCTCACTTCTCCCCCTGATCCAATTGTCGCGTCGCGTTGCGTGACAAATTTCGTTTGCTTCCTGACCCCACGCCCCACCCTGCTGTGGGTAACTGTCGTGAACGAAGCTGTTGCGTATCAGCGCTTCACCTCACTCGTTTCTCCACACTCGGTGTAGCTGGCTGACCCGCGACCACGGCCCACGACGGAAGCGCCCGACGTCCGCTGCACTTCTCACCAATCGTGAAGCTGCAAGTGAGTGCTGCGAAAACGTTACGTGTCTCGCGAGATGAAAGAGCCACCATTCAACAGAGGTACGAACAAAATGGTGGCAGAGTATGGAAATGGTGGTGGTGGTGGTGGCTGGCAGTGTGGCTCAGTTGCATACTCGTTTTCATACATCTAATGATTTCAGCATACAGCCTCTTCGTGGAAGAATAGCACAGTAAATATGCATTTACTTATAACAACAAATGGAAAGCTGAAAGAGCCACCACTAGCATGAGAAATTACGCAAATGAAGAATTCAACATAGCTTCAGTCGAGAATAGGAGGACAGCATATCATGAGCTATATCTAAAGTTTTCAGAACGAGGATACTGATGCAAGTATGGTTCCCCTCATCTCTGCACCATTGACCTTGATGGACGAGTAAAACGATGTAGGGTTTGAAAAAAACCCAGCATCTACCAACAACTTAACCTTGTTGACCGTCTCATACGCAACAGTGAGCGCTGCGTTATCTGTAACCGTGCATGCATAGGAGTTGAAGGTTTCAAGCTTGAAAAAGCATGGGAAATCAACCAAGAGGGCGAGACTGCTGTTGGTGTAGTACCCAGGGCTGGTGAATATGGGGGTTGGGAGCCGAGGAACTCCGTTCATGCGGAACACGAAGGTCGCATTCTGAAAGGCAGCCGTGCTGAACGTGGTGGTGCGGGATAAGACACACATGAATGCACTGACATTAGTGACATCGAGAGATGTATAACAGCTGGAGCATTCAGCTGAGAGCGTTGGGTGAAAGGTCGTCAAAAGTGCAGATGGGAAAATATGGATTAGCTGGGAAAATGGATGTTTCGAAGTGATTGGAAAGCTGAGCTTGGGGTAGCAGAGCTTACACGTTGATATCCACGCTAAAACTGCCATTAAGGTTAGTGGAAGTCGTAGAGGTGGTGGTAGTCGATCTGAGAACAGGGGGATGCGAGAGGCGCTTGTATGTGAGTCAATTTAGAATTAAAAACTTGGAAGTATCGATACGTGTATCGAGATGACTTGATTTGAATCAGAAGTCTTTTTTGCTGCAGAACTATCGTTCCTGAAACCTCAGCACAGCAGTTGCTACTGCTTATAGCACGGGACTACTCGGGTGTGGGGGAAAGTGCACTTACGTGTTGCTGGTGGTGGTGGTTGTAGTGGTAGAAGATGATACTTTCGTGAGCGTTGACTTCGCTTGGACTGCAGTGACGAATAGTGGGATGAAAAGATAAACAGAAAAGGAGGTTAAAAGCTGCACGGAGAAAAGGTCTTTGGCAATGTGGCTGGTTTGGATTGGGTTGGTCCAAACGAGCCAAACGGCCGACTTATAGTGCTATTCAGACTGTCTTACAGCGTATAATCTTACGACGCGTATTGGACTGTCTTACAGCGCGAAGTGATGCCTGTCTGGAGCAGGTGACGCGCGGAAGACGCGCAGGAGACGAGAGAGAGCAGCGCTGGGGAGGGCGAGCGATCGTGGGAGAGGGAGGGAAGTGGGAGGAAGGGAAAACAACGTTACTCGACGATTTGGCTCCAGTAGGGCGTTTCAGACGTCGTGATATCTTGCGAGAGAGAGGGAGTCGCGAAATCTTGAAGACGCCAGACAGAGAGCGCAGCTTTCTGGAAAAGGAGGTGGTTCGGATTCTGATGGTGCGACGTCCGTTGGGTGGAGTCTTAATGATTATGACTCTTCCAACAGCTGCTGGATACTGGTGAGAAAAATTATGCAGCGGTGGCCTCGTTAACTTTTCTGTTCGTCAGCGCATCTCATGGAAGAAGAGACGGGATTCTGCATGCTGCGACGTTCCCGGAAGTGTGTTGCGGTTTCGCCAGCAGATGCGTAGGCGGCCTCACGAACTTCAAATATTTTCGTTCATCGATCGCAATTAGAGACACAGTTGAGCAGAACCCCCAGCCTCGGCAAGATGCTTTTGAGAGTTCTCAAGAAACCCTGCATGCTTCGCGAAACATTTGAAAGGCTGAGTCACAGCGTAAAACCCAGCAAACGCCGGCTCAGCAGCAAAGATGGAATGAAAAAACAAAGAGGCTCCTGAAAACGATAATCAATACCAGCAGAAAATGCGTTCAGCGCGGCGTTACCAAGGAAAAGGGCGGCAGGAAAATCGAGAACTAGACCTAGACGCTTACCAGCAAGGGCGAAAGCTAGTCGCAGGAGGAGTGACGTCCGGGCCATGCTGGTGTTTACAGACAGAACTACTGCCCTGGTACCGATGTTGTGTTCGAAGCGAAGCTGCGAATGAAGAGTCAGAGGCAAGCTCCCTGGCACTGCGAGGGATTCTGAACTTGAGTGAGACGCTGAGAGGAATGGAGTGAAAGAAGTGAAAGAAATGGAGTGAAAGGAAAGGAACGCCTTAATTTATAGTCACAGTGTTTGCAACAATGGCGTCCGATGCGGCGGCGTAGCAGGTTCAATGCGATGCGTGAAATGTGGTAGGGGAGAGGTTTGCGTAGAAACGCAGTCCTGAGGAAACGAATTCCTCGGGAAATTCACCTGAAGGGGATACATGTCCTGCGCATTAGACATTGTGATGCTCGGATCCGAGTCGCAAATCTCAGGTGCGTCCGCGATTGGTGCTGCTCGGGCAATGCAGTGCGCGTAGGACGGAAGATATTTGTAATTTGGGCAGATTGATCACACTTGCCATTTGCTGCCACGCGTCGTCCCAAGCGCCGCAATTCGCGCAGGGAAAAATGAAAATCTCCAGAAATCCGCGAATAAACCGTGACACCGAGCAACATCCCACAATTCGTAGAGGCAAACACTATGTCAAACTAGATTCAGATAAGTCACCTCATTTTCCTAACTACCGCAACGTGTACCACAAATCCTCATTTTCCCTTCTGCAGGCCTTTCAGGAAGCTGAGAGACACATAGAGGCTGAATCTAATACCAACAGCATTGTGAGGATCTTGCAGGGAGGCATAGCAAATCATGTTGGTGTCAAACTATATATATGCTATGGTATAATGGGTAGGCTACAATTGGGTAGCCAACATGGGGTACAACCCCGGGTTTTGTACTTGTACCAAATCTCTCCATAGTTCACATCATTCCTGCTTGTTGATTCTTGTTGCGATCAAAAGGTGATCGTGTCCTAGGATCTACTCAGGAAGGTTCGCAGACAGGGTAGTGATGTTGGTGGGCCCTTGACCTCAATAGCAGAGTGAATGTAAATGCTTGAAATGATTAAGACGTGCATACATC